GGGCAAAAATTAAATATATTAGACATATATTTTAAGATAATTTTAAGTATATTTTAGATATATTAAAAATATATTATAAGTATTTTGCAATTTTTAAATTAAGTATATTTTAAATATATTTTAAGTATATTTTAAGTATAATACTTTTTATAAAGTATGTAAAAAGAACATAAAAGATAGTATATAGATAGCACATATTAGAATAGAAAGTATCATAAAATTTGTATAAATAGAGGGCAGAATTCAAAGTAATTCCACAGTTCTCATCCACAGAACTCAATAAAAATATAAGTTTCATTTAATTATTTGTTAGTAAAGTTTAATATTAATTAAAGGTAATAGGTTCGCCCTAAACTTTAATTAATGTTTGCTTAATTAATTTTAATTGAATAAAATGAAAATTTTAAGATGAATTAAATGTACACTTTTGAAAAGTAATAGTTCATAGCGAGAGCTATCAAAATTTGAAATGAAAGGTAAAAGTGGATATAATTTGGGGAAAATTTAGAGAAGTTAAATTTTATTTTATATCGTTTGATGTTTTATATTACTAACGCTATTTATGTCGTGAACCAAGAATGTTGTTGTTATATGTTGTTGCATGTTGTTCATCGATTATGTTGTTTGTTAATTATGCTGTTGATTATTTGCTTGTTCGTTTATTTGTTTGTTTGTTTGTTTATTCGTTTGTTTGACCATGAGAATGCCCTTTCTATGTGGCAACTCTGTAAATTGATGACAGAGGGAATTGGGGGATCTCACCAAAATAGTTTAGACATTTAAAATTAAAAGACGAAATGCCGAAATTCAATATTCCATAGTATTTCCATGGATTTTTTATGGATTTCCATGGATTTTTAATTATAATAATTACTTATAAAAAAAAAAATAATAAATTTATATTAAAATATAATATTTTTTAAAGGAATTTATAAAACTATTTTATTTATAATATAATTTAATATATTTTTATAATAAAATTACAATTTTATATAAATAAAATTTAAACTTAAAAAATATTACTATATAGTTTAGTCAATGACGAAACCGAAACTAGTTGGTGACAAAACCGAAATTTTTGGCAAAAAGAGTTTAGCCAGGTATCACTAGCTTATAGTAATAAAATAGTTAATATAAAAAAATATGTTAAAAGTCATTTATCCAAATATGAAAATTTTTTTATAACCAACCCAATTTTTTTGTCATAATGTGACATTTTCAAAAAGATGTCATATTAGCAAAAAATAATATTTTAAAATTCTAACCGATAATTTTAATAAAGCATATCAAGAGCTTTTAAACTTATCAGGTTAGATTAAAAAATAATAAATTTTGCTAGTGTTACATAAGTTTGAAGTTCGTGTAATTTATTATGATGGGAAATAAGTGATTTTTGTGTAATATAAAAAAAAATAATCATTTGATAGTGCTTATTCAAATAAATCATTTTAGCTTATAAACTTACCCATGCTTTGTTAAAAAAATTTTGAAAAAAAATTAAAAAAACTTTGGTAGTTTTTATTTATTACAAATTATATTATGCCTATTTCTCAAAAAGGAATTGCAGGAAAACTTGCTAAAAAAATATAAATCCCATAGAAAAGTTCCTGATGATATACTTAATCAAATTACTTTTAAATAGTTATAATGAATAATAAATTATATATAAAAAATTATGCATAATTCTAATTAACATTAAGTATTACATTAGCCAATCAAATTTATTTTAAGTCATGTGATTTTGAACTACCCTAGCGTTACCCCAAAAAAAAGCACTGTGGCGTGTTCAAGCTGCAGTTTGTTTATGTAATAATATCACGTGCGATTAATTATTTTGCGATATATAGATTTGAAACATATTGTGAATATTATTATTATTTATTTTTTTTTAAAGAATTCAAACTACAGTCAGACCTATATGTACCGATATTTTATGTACCGATAATTGCCTGTACTGATAAATTTTCTATGTCCCATTTCACAATTAATAAAAAAATCTCGTTGTACTGATATTATATATGGTTTCATGATATAATATGTACCGATACTTTTCTTTGCCTCTTTATAATTAATACATAGTAAGATGTACTGATACTTTATGTTACACTGGTATTAATTTAGGTTAACACTATGAATTTGGCCAGAATTAACATAAAGGTTCCATCCAAATCACATAACATTTAATATATTAGCTATCTGGAGTTTACATAATGCTGGCAAGAATTGGATTTTGGCCCGCATTATGATTCACTGATGACGGTTATGTAATGATAATTTGATATACCGATATATTTTTTCCAAAACAACAGTATCGGTACATAGAGGTCTGACTGTAAATTTTTAATACTAACCTACATATAATAAACACTAAATTTAAATGGTAGTTTTTTATATTTTTATTTAATTTTTATGTTATATAATTATTAATACCACATTGTATTTGCAGGAAATAGAAATTTTAAGTGAAAGTAAAAAATGTTTGGGATGTCAACAGACCTGTTCATTTGAATTATTTTCAGGTTTAAATAAAACTTACAGTATATGTTCGATATGTCAAAATCAGAAAAAGGCAATTCATGATAATCAGAAGCGGGAAAGAAAAGAAATTGAATGCCAAATTGTTAATTTGATTGAATATGACGAACTTATAGAGAATTTAAAAATGGAGATGGAGAAAATAAAGAAAATGGGCTTGATTTTAAAAAGACTCTTAATATATGATGTTAAATGATAACTCATCCAAAAATATTGCAGAAGGTATAATAGAGCAAATAAGTGATGCAGATAATTTCAATTGGAGGTATGTGTTTTGTTCATGATACATTAATACTTATATGCTTATTAACTAAATAATAAATAAATATAGATTTCATGATGAGCGATATAGTGCAAAAAATAAGCAAGAAATTAATTTTCGATATAAATGTTCTCAAAGGTCTGATTGTGCAAAAAAACTCTGGAAATGTTTTAATCCAGAAAAGCAATGTGATACTCTTCCTATGAAACGATTTGATTGTCATGGAGAAATTAATATTGTCATTGATCTTGAAATGAAGATAACATCAGTAAATGTTATTCATAAAATATTGCATGAATTACCTAAAGAAATTGGTGTACCTAATTGTGTGAAAGATTTTATTAGTGAAAATATTGATCTACTGCCAAAAGAGATATATGCACGCCTTGTGGAAAATGGCCTAGATCCAGAAATTTGCTAAAATCAGATTTATTTTTGGTGGAGTAAATTGGGGGAAATTAGATATAAAAGAGATTCCAATACCTTTCTATCAGCCAAAGTTTTGTTAGAGGAATATAATTGTATGAAAATACTAGAAGTAGATTTTCCAGTACAAGCTATTGCCTTTGAAATAGGATTGTATCAAATGCTAATTAAAATAATATTTTAATTAAGGAATTTGGGATTGATGCTACATGTAAGTTATATATTATAAAATAAGTAATTATTTTATTATCTTATATATTATATGTACAAGTAACATTAAAACATTTCTAATATAGATAATACCAACAATTTGGGGTTTGAATTATATGTTATACATGTTGAAGTTGATGGAAGTGGACGGAACTGGACTTAATGTATTGGACTAGTCCAGTCCAATTAAATTTTTCTAAACTGGACTTAGTCCAGTAACCAACACTGAATATATCATCAAAACAGATAAGTAGGATATACTGAATTATTTACTTAAACTACTATCTAGCCTTCATTACCTGCTTTGCCAATTTGTCTTCAAAAGAACAAAATAATGAAAGTGATAAATAAAATAATAAAATAACGAATGTAGAAACTAACAATGAACATAACTAATGTTTACGGATTACCGTGATTACCAGTACCAAACGATTATCAGATTCACAAATATAATCGTAAATCAACAAGCCTAGAATTATTTTGAAAATCCTTGGTATATTGATTCCTTTCACAAAATTGAAATTTGTTTTCCAAATAAATAGTAAATAGTAAATATACTGTATATTTATTATTATTAGAATAAAAAGGCAAATTCTAATTCAGATGATTGGAATATTCCGAATGTTACACCGTTAAAATTGTACAATATTAAAAATATTTTTAATATTAAAATTGGATAAATAAAGAGTTTCTAACCAAATTAATATAATTAAAATAATACAAGTATATTCCAACTAATTAAATCCAGTGTAATTATTTACACGGATTGATAATTAATGCAACAAGGGGTGCAGGAAAAATTAAGTGATATATGTATGTACGTATGTATAATATTAAACTATATTATCACCTCCTTTAACAACTATATTATTATTAAAAAATTTTCTAGATTTTTCCAAAGCAGCAAGATAACGATGAGTCATATGGTTACGAATAAAAGGTAATAATAATCTTTCAATAGGTATTAAACTTGTATTATATCTAGGATCGAAAGAAGATTTAATATGATGTTTTTTATCATCAAGAGGATCATAAAGACCAAATAAACTTTTCCATTCATTCCAACCTAAACCATGTTCAAGGAATAATAATTCTTTATTATCACTAAAAATATCACGCATAGACGAAGGTCTAGTACCATCTTGATAAAACCTTATTTCATCACCAACATGAAAATAATTCATTATATGTATTTTTTGAGTATATCTTCGTAATTTTGGATTATTATGACCAATTGGAACACGTGGTACGATATCACTATCACATACAATTCTCCATAATGTTTTATATTCCTCAATTGAACGATTACATAATGATGAAAATTCTGCAGCGAAATCCGAATCTCCAATTGATGGACTTGCAAAAGTTGTACCATCTCTTAATATACAATGTTCACCTAAACATCGAGGATATTTTAATAATCTACCGTATAATAAATTGGCTAATGCACCACCTAATGAATGACCTGTGACATAAATATTTACTAAAGGGGTATCCTTAAGTTTTATATTATTTTTTTCCATGTTTTTATTTCTAATTTCTTCACTTTTTTGATTAACAGCTTTAATAATTCTTGTTGCAGGACAATTTCTATCAAGTTTTGCTGATTCATAATCGTTAATAGGGAAAAGTTGACTATAAAAACCTTGATGAACCTCACCAAATAAAAAAGCTCTTGCATCCGTACGTTGAAATGATGCATTTGTTAACCATTCACTAAAATTAGTTGGAGTTGTACCTTTACAAGCTATAGTTATAAAATTTCTTTCTTCAGACCAAAACATTCCAACATAAGGACCTCCAAGAGTATTTAATTCGGAAAGTGAAGTGAATTGAAGATCAAAATCTTTTATTTGATCTCTTATATTTTTTTCACTTTCTTTAAGAATTTTATAAACGGTTTGTAAATCTTCATCACTTTTATTATTAATATCCTTTTTCATTTTGGAAATCATTCGATAAGCTTTAATAACTTGTTTTTCGTTTCTCTCGTACATGATAGTTGAAAGAAATAACAAGAATTGTGTTCGATCTAAATTAAATCCTTTATGAATATCTGATGTAGGATGTTGATCTAAAGATTCCATTCCTGAACGAAGATTCGCCACTGCAAAAAAAAAATAAAAATAATTAAGATTATAATCTTTTTTTTTTGTTTTTTTTTTCAATATTATTATCATAATTTTATCACTTACATAATTCAGTTAAAGGTATTAATTTAGACCAAGATTGTAAAACGGTTTCATTATTAGAGTCCAAATTTAAAAAAGATATGAATCTTAAAATAATTTCAAGAAAGAATAATATTATAGCAGACGTAGGAAAAAATACAAAGGTTAATAAGAAATTTACGGGGTGAGTAATAATTGCGGTCCAATCAAATATTATTGTAAGAATTAAATGTTGTAAAACTTGTATAAAATAACTTAAATAATTTATAGAAGGGGAAATAAGAGGAACATTTTCTAAAGCTCTGGGTAAAACACTTTTTTTTGTTGAGCATAAATCTACTATATGTGGACGATCAACTTTAGAGATATCAAATATTTGAATTAATACATCATTTGATGATTCGCTATTATTATCTTTATCTTCAACGACGGAAGTTTTATCATTAGATGAGAATATATCAGCTTTATGTTTATCTTTTTTCGTAAAAATTTTTTCTGTATCAATTTTTTCTAGGAATTCTAATGTCATCTTTTTTTATGTTAAATAAGTTAAAAAAATGTATTTTTTGGAATTTTTTTTTTTTTTTTGAAATATTTTAGAAATGATTTTTTAATCAAGTTATTCTTTTCTTTTTATCTATGAACGAAATTTTTATGAAAAGAATAATTTATTGAATTGCAATTTGTATAGTATAAATATGTGATTAATGGAGTACAAGGTCCTATTGAAAGCCGCATGAAAATACATACGGTATCAATTTTAATTCGATAATTTCCTTTTTTTTATTTTAAAAATAAAATAAATTAAACATTTTTGTTTTTGAATTCTTTAAAAGGATTTTGAGGGTATTTGTTTATTCTTTTGTTTATTCTTTTCATAAATATTAACGAAATTCGATTGGATATTTAATCATACAAGGTTCGCAAGTGATCGACATTCAACAATTTGCATCCCGATTCTAAAAGTAGATTATACTTATTTCAGTAATTATTACGAACAAAACAAACTGTGATCATTCATTCAATAACTGTGTAACTAATGAAATAAAAAATCTCGGCGACGGCCCGATTAGTAACTAATTTGCTTCTTAAATTCTTCTTTGCTGCGTCTTGCGGCTATCATATAACCCGATATTTCTATTAAAAACCTGTCATAATCTTATCCCATTCGAATGAATAAATAAATTAAAGTTAATCCCATTCCAATTATAAAAAAAATTGTTTAATAATAAATATTGATGAGGTTCTTAATTTAATCCAACAAAATAAATATAGATTGAAATTGCTTCTTGAGCTGAAATCTGAATTCTAAATATTGTGTACCACCTTTACTGCAAGTCCAATTCAAGAGTTCCCTACGGAGTTCCCAATCCGGCCAGAAGATCAACATATCCAATATACCGTATTTACGAAAACGTGTAACATTAATTCATTGAATTCAGTTTATTATATTTTGTTTACTATTTACATTTACAGTACAGTATATTATCTATTATATTATAATATTACCATCCTAGGAAAAAAATATAGAAATCAAAAATCTAAATATTCTTGTCGCATCTTTAGCATTCGTTTGAATGTTATCTATTGAATGGTAAATTGTAAAATGCTTCTCTGGTTGGTGTTACTTCGGGACTTGGATATTTCTTGACGTTGCCTATCATTTAAATATTGTATTATTATAATAAAAGTTTTATTATTTATGAAAAAAAAAAAGCAAAAGTAATTTAATTGTCGAGTTTTACAATAATTTTTATTTATTTATTTAAAATTATAGATATTCTTTGAATAATAAATAATTTTATTAAAAAAAATCTTTCCTCTCCCCAAAAAATGATAATTTAGGCTCTATTAATGAATATTACCTTGTAGACCGACATTTTCAGCTCCGATAAGATTATTAATAACATGCTCAATACTCTTGAAATATTTCACGGTTTTAACGTGCAATTCAAGTGTTGCATCTTCATCACAAACGATTAATGCTTTTGAGTGTAGTTGAATCGCCGAAACGGTAAACATGTGATTTACACCTGATTTGTCATTGTCGAGTTAATACAGATTTTTTTTAATCAGAAGATTTTACAACAAATTAAACACAATAAATCATAAATTACCTTCTTCAATACACTTGGCAAGAGCTAACGCCTTATGTGCTCCAGTTATAATAACTGCAACTTCGCGAGAATCCATAACAGTACTAGATTATATAAAAGAATTATGATAATTTAGTAAAAAGTTATTATTATTTGTTGGTTAAATGATAATCTATTAGACTACTGATGAATTAATAATCTTATAGTATTATAGTTCTACCCAATAATTCATTATTGTTAAATATGCATGAACTTATTTTGAATCATACCCAACACCAACGGTTAAAGCCATCCTTGGTACTTTGTTTATATCATTATCGAAGAACCTTGAATTCGCCAAGATAGTATCGTAAGCTAAAGTCTTAACACGAGTTCTTGACATTAAAGATGACCCAGGTTCATTGAAAGCAATATGTCCATCAGGTCCAATACCTAATATTAAGCGATCTCAATATTTGTTACATGAGAAATTTAAATATTTCATGTGTAAGGAAAACTAACCTCCAATGAACAATTCAACACCTCCAATGTCTTTTATTTTTTTCTCAAATCTAGCACATTCTTCACTAAGATTCTCGGCATTACCATCAAGAATGTTTACGTTTCTCGGTTCAATATCGATATGTTTGAATAGGTGATGCCACATAAAGGAATGATAACTTTCCGGATGATCCCTTGATGAACCAAGTGAAAAAAAAAATTTGAGATCAAACTTATTTAAATAATTTAGCGGATATTTAATTTAGAAAATTTTTACCTAGGCAGACCAACATATTCATCCATATTAAAGGTAACAACATGCTTAAAACTCAACTCTCCGTTTTTATGATACTTTACCAAGTTTTTATATAAACCAATCGGAGAAGAACCAGTTGGTAAGCCGAGGACAAAAGGACGCTCTTTAGTTGGTTTAAATTCGTTGATACGATTTTTGACATAAGTTGCTTAAGTTTTAGTATTTAATAAAAAAGAAAACATCTTAGAAAGTTATGACATTAAGAGAAAAATTCATGTAATAATGTAATAATCATTTATTTTATTTACATATATATTCTGATACTTCATTATAATCGGAACGAATGATTAGACGCATATTTTCTACTTTTTATTCCTAGCGGAAAATAAAAGTTTAGGATTTTCTTCGTAATAATTTTGAGAGAAATAAAAAATTTCACGCGAGACTTTTTTTTCGTGAATTAATTTGTATTTTTTTAAAGTTGATGTACATCTTTAAATGGTCAAATTTGAAAATTCACCTTGTGAGATCTGCATTCATATTACATCATAATTACACATTTGGAAAGATTAGGCCCGTGATTTATTTCCAAAATCTACGATAATTCATTTACGAATGATACATGTCGCGATTGTCGCGTGTCGTACAAATTGTACAAAGTCGCAAAGTCGCGTAAATTTAAATTACTGATCTTCGAATTACTCTCCTGACAATTAAAAAAATACTTTATTACGCAATTTCATTCGTACTAACTTTAGATAATTTGCCAAAATCTAGTGCTTTAATGGTAAACCCAATTTTTATTCATCCACATTCCACAGCTAAAAAATGCATATAAATTCATTGATGCATAATTAGTTTTTAATTAAATTTTCTTATATTCTGAATGCTTTAGCATATTTGAAATAGCATATTTTTCATAGATAGTCAAAAGTGACCAACCACCTAAAATTACAGTAAATAAAATCAGCTATTTTCATTAATAATTTATATTTATTTTAAATTTAGAAATGTTAAGACTTTTTTTACTTAATTAATAATATTTAATTTAATGTAACCTTTCAACCAAAGAAATAGATGCCAAAAATTGATTTTTCAACTAAAAATTAGCTTATTTTCAAAAAAATCAGCAGCAGCTGTAAAATTTTACAATTTTGCTAATTTCTAAAAATGGATTTTTTAGTAATTACTAATCAAATTTTTCTGATTTTTTGAAAATGAATTAGTTTTTAGTTAAAGAATTGATTTTTGGCATCTATTTCACTTTAGCTGCTTTGATTAAAAGGTCAAATTTTTTTTAGTTCAAATTAAATATTTATATTTTTATTATTAATTAAATAAAAATATTTCAAATAGATTTTTATTAAAATAAGTATAAAATTATTAATGAAAATATCATATATTATAGATTACAGTACTCTAGATATCTTGCAAATTTCAGAAGTTTGGTTTTGTATTCTTCTATTATATGAATTTTTACTATTAATAAAAGGTGTTTAAAACTTATAAAATAATCAGGGTATTATTAAATATTACATCTAAGATATTTAAATAAATAAAATCAATGAAAAATATAACTTCTTTTTAAAAGATACAATACATAAAAAAGTTTATAGTTTGTAATATATAATAACTGATTTTATTAATTTTTAGATAATTGGTTACTTTTGGCAACCTACTATACTGTATATATTAAAAATATAATAAAATAATATATAAATAAAAATCAGTAATGATTATTACTAGTATAATATATAAGAATAATAAATAGTTGTCTAAAGCAAAGCAAAGGATTATACATATTGAATTATACTGTTTATTTGCACATATCATGTTACTAAAATTTATATTATATTAATAAATAAATAAAATATAAATAAGTTAAAAATATAATAAAATTTGTGATATGTAATAAGCAATTAATTTATTTCTCATTCTAAATGAGATTTGATATTTCTCACTCCTTAATTATAAATTATCAAAAATGTTAAAAATGGTATTTATAATATTTTTTATTAAGTAAATTTGTAGAGTAAATATAAATTATAATTTTAAAAGTTATATAAAACTTATATGTATGGTACACTCAATTTAAAGTCAACCAATGTTTTATTTAGTAGTCAAATTTTTTTAGACTTATAAATTATAATCATATTATAAAAAATAAATTTTATTGGTTATTGGTTAATACTTAATATATATTTATAATTATGTTTTACAAAAATTTTAACATATACAGTGCGCAAAAAAAATAATTATAATAATATTTTATCTATTTGTGTAATGAATATTTATTGAAAATTCATAAAAATTTAAACATATATGCTTTATTACATTGCGAAAAAGTTTGACTATACATAATTAATAATTTATCTTATTGCCATTACCCTTAATTATTTGTTCTAATTTTGATGGCATACTTTTAATTAAATTAATAAAAATCTCCAGTTCAATTCCTTTCCACTCTTTTCAAATTATACTCTGAAAAATGTCTACAGTAATTGATTTTTTTTTTTACCACCATAGTGGTATATTGTAGGGAGTGGGATAGAGGTTAAAGAGTGTCATATGGGCTGATTTGATTACTCACCCAAAATTTAAATTTTTATTATTTTTTAATATTTAAGTATTACCAAAGCATCACATAATATGCATAATTTTTATATTATTGACTTGAAAATAAAAATTAATACATGCTACTATAAAGTTAAGTTTTGGCTGAAATTATGTTAATACCGGCCAAAATTTACATTGTTTAGGCATTAGAAAGTGAAATTGATATAAAATTAATGCAAAGTAACATTTTGTTTTTTACTTTCATTTATTATTTATTTATTTAATTTACAATTATTTATATGTTGCTATAACTACAAGAAACCAACCAAAAATCCAACTAAAAATCCAACAAAGGACCCAATCCAATAAAGAATGCATGTTTACTTTAGTCTTCTTACTTGTTGTCTATGGTGTAAATGTAATTCCAGCTGGCTTGACTCCATAGTTTTTTATTAACCTTTTAAATTCTTCACGACTTCAAATTGCAGAAATCCTTAAATCATTTTAATTTTAGTCCAAATCTGAAAAATATGAAAAAGGTATTAATAATATTTTATAATACAGTCATTACTCATCCGTTTACCCCAAAAAACTTACTTTTATCACTTAATCTTCTAATCTTTCAGAAAATCTGAAACCTAAAATAAAAAAAAGACATTAATAAATGTCTTTAACACCATTATACCATCACATTTAGGAAACTTGTTTAATCTTCTAGAAAAGTCTGTTCAAAATCTAAAAAATAAAAAAAAGGGAGGATTAATGTCATTTATAATGCTATTACACTACATACTGCATATTCACTCCACTAAAAAAAACTTACAAGATTATTAATTATTTCTACAATTAACATCAACCGGTTTAAAGGTAAAACTAACCGTTCCTAAAAAAAGAAATTAAGTGTTATACTTCTTAAGTCAATATTGAATAAATGAAAACGTACTATAGTTCTTATTTGTTGTTCAAGGTGTGGACAAGTTCCAGTTGGTTCGACTCCAGCAAACAACAAAATACCTACTCGTATCCTTGGTACTCCCAACCTACCAATCCGGTAATATTTTCGCTGTCAAATCTTTCTTGATATCGCTACTTGTAATAGAGACACTTCAATCGCTCTTCTCTGTTTTTCATTTTCTGTCTAGCTAATATGGCAGTACCACTAACGGCTAACTTCTTAGGAGAGTTCCTTTCTTTTGCAGGTGCCTATCAACGAAACCCATTTATCACCATATTGGCTTCTTCCTTAGTAGTCTTAACTGTAGCGTATACTATTTGGACTTACAATCGGGTTTGCTTAGAGAGTCCTAGCCGTTACCTTTATCCTTGTCTAGATATCTCTAGAAGAGAGTTCTTCATACTACTTCCTTTTCTTCTGTTAATTTTCGTACTAGGTATTGTTCCTTTCGTCATCCTAGATTCTCTGCATTTTTCTGTATCATCCCTTATTTACTCCAAAATCTCCCGTAGTTAGAACGGGCTAACCTAGGAAACTCCCTTTTTAACCAATACTTGCTAAGCAACGAAAAGGATAGCCAATAAGGAGAGTAGTTTAATTGTAAAATGGTAAGCTCCAAGCTTCTTGTTGGGGTTCGATTCCTCCCTCTCCTGATAGCATCTATTAACTTGATATTATTTGATTCCTAAGATAAAATCAAGGTATTCCTCTCACTGTTGCCAACCTTGGCTTGGTTACTTAAAAAATAGTTACACTCTTCCTTATCTCTACTCCCCTCACTAACTACCCAGTCTCTCTATCTGATGTACTTACTCCACTTTTATTATTGAAAATACCCCTTACTTAGTGATTTATTTCCTACTTAGAAGTTAATCTTCCCAATCTGTTTAATATGCTATTCTTCTTACTGGAATCCTTCATAATTCTACTACCTTTGCTAGGGAGTATTGCTTTCATGACTCTTGCTGAACGGAAAGTAATGGCTTCTATGCAACGAAGGGTAGGACCTAATGTCGTAGGGTTTTACGGGATTCTTCAACCTTTTGCTGATGGGTTGAAACTTCTGTTTAAGGAAGCTGTAATCCCCAGTCACGCTAATAAGGTAATCTTCCTAATTTCACCCTTCATTACCCTGTCATTAGCCATTATGGGTTGGGCAGTGATTCCATTTGCCAAGGGAACAGCCCTAGCGGATCTCCAAAAATCTAAGAAAAAAACACATTAAGAACGATAGTAACGTTTCTTAAAGAAATAGTAAAAAAAGCAGTTTGTTTCACCTTCTACTACTATGTCATTTTTTGATGTTCATTTCCTAAGCATAATAATCATGTTCTTTTTTCGTTTTACTTGTATCAACCGGAAGATCTAATGAAAAAAGAATTTAGTGCAAGAAATGAAAAGTGAAACAAAATACAAAGCAGAAAAAAATACTTTACCGATCCACCTATTCAGTTTATCAGCCAACCTAGAGAAGAAAAGACCGGTAAATGCCGAAAATCTAAAATAAATAAATAAATAGAAAACGATCAGTGAGATATGATCAATCGATGATAGTAAAAAAAAAAAATAGATACACTGCACATTAAAATCGCACTTTATCCTTACCTTGAAATGTTGTTAAATACTCCTCCCCCTTGCTAGTTACATGACGACACCTCAAAAGGAGCCTACGTAAAGTTTTCAGCACTCAAACTGAAACCCGAAAGATCTACAAAAACAAAAAAAAAAGAAACGTTATTTTTATTAAAAAAAAAGAGAATAGTAAGGAAATTTACCATTTCCAAGTCCAGCGTTTCTAATCGATACTCCGGAGGACCTAAAAAAAAAAATAAAATTAAGAAACGTGTAAAAACTGTTTCGCAACGGGATGCTGCGAAACTTAAATTTCAAGAGTCCCCAACCCGAATCTAAAACCTACGTAGAAAATCTCACGTGTCCAGTCAGCTGTCTAAAAAAAAGAGAAAGTCGAAACGTTGGTAAGACGTTTCGTTATACAGTTTCGCAATGGGGTTCGCAAAGCTTACCACTATCACTTTCCCATTAACCTAAAAGTCCGAAACCTACAAAAAGGAAAAAAAAGAAACGTTAGATGACGTTTCTATTTAAAATAAAATAAAATAAAATTCCCAATTATTGCGAAACTTACCACTTCAATCTTGAACCTAAACTAAACTTATCTAACAAATTCTTTAGGCGTCATCAATTTCGTCGAGATCTATAAAAATAAATACATAAGAACGACGGAGAGGGTAATAATAATAATAGAACCGAAAATTTAGAAATGTTTTACCTGATTCACTCAATTGGCAATCAAAACATTCCGAAACTATAAAATTAAATAACCCGAAATCTAGAAAAAAAAAAAATAGAACGTTATAAATAAGCGTTTCATGATTTAAATAAAAAGAATATATATAACAGATAAGGCATTTAATAAGCCTAAAAATATGGATATTCGTACTACCAGATTTCCACACGTCCAAATACCTGAAGAGCAAACCGTCTAAGATCATCAATCCACCCAGAATATTGTTTTAATACGATTACGGATTGATATCTCAAACATTCCCGAGCCTTTCATTTATAAACTATATTTTTTTTACGAAACTAAAAAAAAAAGAACGCAGTAATTAGTTACAAAAAATGAAAGAAATAAAAAAATGCTCTTCTAGTTTTTACCAAGACTTACCCGTTGTTTAATAATATAGTCTAGTTGGCTTGATTCAACAAGATTTTTTTTTTTTAAAAAAAATTTATTTATTGTTATTGCATCACAACAAAAATTAGAAATTACTTACGTCTATACTGCCTTATAGGAAAGTTAAAAAATTTAAAACAGTTTTCTTCAAAATGCTTCGGTACAATCTCACTCGCTTTGTTGGTATCTAAAAGTGATAAAAGAACATAGAAAAATAGTTAATGTCCTTTCAAAATGCAGTTATGTCACCATATATTACCAAACTATACTTGCCAGATGTTAGTTCTAGCATTAATACCAGTCTAAAAACGCTATGTGTCTACCCAAGTATATTTACCTCTCAAGAATCTAAGAAAATTGCGCTTTAAAAAAATAAACAGTATTAATATTAAAACTTTAAAAAAACAATAATAAATACTAACATTTACATACTTCGTTAAGTTTATTCCACTGAATAAAATATAGTTTAATGCTTTATATGTGCATTAAATTACTTAATTCTACAAGAAAAAAGGAAAGAAAAAACATTAAAATACATTAACTGAAAGTGTGGTTTCGTCAAATTCCAAAAAGCTGGTGTCCTTATAAATATAAGAAAAAGGAAAAGAGAATTGTTAGAATATTTCTTACTTAAAATACACGTCCTAACTATCCAAGCCATTTGTCAAAGAAAAACAAATATAACAAATTGTTACTAATATATCATTTATTTAATCAGTTCTATCACTTCTATGTAATACAAATAAATTAATTCTACCGCTCTAACCAAAAAATATTACTTTAAATTTATTTTTTTTGGTTTTGGTGTTGAAGTTTCAACATTATCAAATAAATAAAATAGAACCCTATTTTCATATTCAAGAATATCAGTTATTGCTGATTTTTTGTTTTTCCCTCCATCTTTCATTGTCTGTCTAAAAAAATGTGTTACTTGCTAGTGATTTTTTTTTCAACAGCCGCGCACGAAAATGCCTTTATGCCAAATTGTTTATGTCTTTCCATAAACTCGGACATATGGCAGACAAGAACATGCATATATGGAGTTATATCACTTGGCATGTATAATACCTTAAATAATTCCAACCAATCCTCGGCTTCGAATCGAAATTGTTGTGCATCTTAATTCTTCAATTTAAGATTGAGATAAATTTGATGAAAGTGATCCCATAATTCTCGGATTGCATTTGCACGTGAAGATGGTAATATACGCTTAAAGTTAAAATTTTTTAAAACTTTCTTTTTGTCATCACCCATCAATTATGTGTGGTTCCACGTATTGGATTTTTCTTGCCAAAACTGGAAATTAACACCAATCCTATTCATTTCTTTAACAATTTCATCACGACATATATCATCAAATTGATTAAATTCTTTTAATTCGGCTAAAACTAAACACTAGAGACGATCCCAAATACGAAGCAAAATATGAAGTTCATCTGGTACCCAATTATCCAGTGGAATCATATTAAAAAGTGGCTTCCTATTATGACCTGGATATTCATGAATGTTTTCCATTTTCTTACTTATTTTCCAATCATTACCTTGGTCATATTTTGATACTTGGCACCATGGGCAAAAAAATTTTGAATTTGCTGAATTGAATCCTAAACATATGGATAAAAATTTCCAGTCAGAACTGAAATAAAGTACAAAATTCCATATAATTTCGCCAATCATTAGCCCATTTTTTTTTATTTCATCTAGTTCTTTAATAAAAGATGCCATCATAATTTCTAAAACCTCATATTTCTCCACACCTGAAAAGAGAATGGTTGTATAGTGGTGTTCAGGTTTATGGATATTTTGTATGTCATTCAAAATTGCTATGGTTACCATTACATGCTTAATTTTTCTGCCTACATTCCGGCCATCGCCAGAAACTCTTAAGTGGATAATTGGATTATTAATATCCAATATTTCATTAGAAATAAGGGTGGGTACAATATACTTTAAAATGTCTTTAACGCTCCGAGTTCCACCTTTTTTGATATTTTGAATTATTTCAGAGTTTGAATTTTCATCAAAATCCAATGGAAGATTGATAAGAGTAATTGGTATTTTCTGATTCATTTCTGTTGTTAATTTAAGTCTTTGTTTAGAGATGGCCCATTCACGTTGTAAATTAGATTCTACTGCAGCTAATGCTCGATAACCTTCACGAGGAATATAATTTAAATCAATAGCTTGTACTGCTGAAATAAGCTTTTTTTCTTTTATATCGTTTTTTTCCTCATAATCAATTTGGAAATCCATATCTCTAATGCTATAAGAAATTTGCTTAAGAACAACTTGATCTTTACCATAGATTTTGGATCCTTCAACTTGAACATGTTGTTTCAATTGATTTCCAAATTTATGCTGCCTTTTATTTAATGTTGATTTACTACAATGTTCAAGTGATATTAATTGAATATTATTTTCCTTTGTACTTCTTATGTTTTCTCTAGCTTGCTTTAATGTTATTAGATGAATGCCAAAAAGATGTACTCCAGAAATTAATGATTTTTCATTTAAGGGAAAAAGTTTCTAAAAAAAGATAATAAAATTTAATTATTAAATATATTTAATTCGATTTTAACACAAAAAAAATTCGATAAGCTAACCTTCAGAACTGCATTTGCTGCTGTTGTTGAAGATATATTTGATTGGACTTCTTCTGAGAAATTTATACCATACATAATTTTAAAAAGTGGCTTTCCTTCTACATAATTAATAAAGCACTTTACAGTTTTCTTTTTTTCCCCACGACCCCAAGTAGTTTCCACACAATATCCATTTGGAATTTTATATTTGTTTTTTCCTTGGGTATATTCCAATATTGGAGGTTGAGGATATAAACCTTCTTGCTTAATTTTGTAATTATAACTCCTTTTTCCATCTGTATATAATATAGAATCTGTTTTAGGATAGTCAGTAATTTCCTTAGGAACATTTTCAATTTTTTTACTTTTTACTTTTGGCATTGTATTTAAGAGTATTAAATACTATTTATAGGAATTTAAAGATTATTAAAAAAAAGTATTGACGAAGACTTGATAAAGATAAAAAAGTATTGACAAAACTTGATGAAGACAAAAGAGTATTGATGAAGACCTGACGAAGATAAAAGAATATTGACAAAGACTTGACGAAAATAAAGGAGTATTGGCAAAGATAAAAAATATTGATGACGATAACAAAAAAATTATCTCTGCTAAATTTGGACTGAATTACATACTTTTTATATCATATAACTCTAATATAGCTGTATAAATAATCGTGTCAGATTCAATATTACCAAAAATAGAATATTTGTTTGTTTATAGACAGTACACTAGTACAGTATACATTATACGTAGTATTACAGTATAAGAAAATTTTATACTAGTTGAAAATGACCAGTAAAAATAATCCAATTAAACCTGCATTTTTTGAAAGTCTAAAATAATAATAATAATAATAAATAATTACAATCTTTAAGAAGGTAATTTTAATTATCACAATATATTTTGTATTTACCACTTAATTTTTTTATTGCAAATAATGTTATTGGATAACATAACATAATACAGCATATTACGAGATGAATTTGTGGAGTATGCAAGGATATGAAAACTGAGTTTGTTTGTCCAAAAAGAAACTTGTGTGTCACAATATTTTGTTATTTTGCTATCGAAATAGATGATGTTAGGTTTCGCATTTATTATTTTTGTTTCAAATTCTTAAAATTCTTATATGATTGAAAAAGTGTAAAGTAACAATCAGTATTTTTATTACAATTAAAATATTTACTAATCAGGTTTCAAAAACTCGGTATATAGAAAAGCAGGTTTTAAAACAAGTTTTCAATAAATAGTAATATGACACGTATATATTATACACTTTATACGCTTTATACGTTGGTTATGCAAAATTACCTTCTGACCCGTGTAACCATATCATCACCCCTCTGCATAATATAAATAAATATTTTATAGCAAGGGGGTCAGTAGGGTGCGATGACTTATGCAGTGTTGATTCAAGAAGGTATTCTTCTGAAGAAATTTTCCCCAAGAACCCATTTTTGGATTAAGTTCAGACGTATCTATAGAAATTCAAAGTACCTACAATATCAGATATATCATTATATACAGTAATATTATAGAGTATCTCGTGAAATAAGAGTAATTCAACACATTATATTAGTTTTAATCAATCAATGGTATCTCGATTATATAACGGTGTTGATGTTCCTAAAACATTAACTGCGGTTAGAAATTGGATTAGTAAAGAGTCAGAAAAAATGAAAAAAACGAGAGAATTTAGGTTGGAATTATAATATAATGTTTGTTTACGTAAAATGAACAGGTTTGCACCTATTAACTCGGTAATCTTAGTATGGAACGAAAGAGTTGGAAATCCTAGTTTCGAATTTCACGGTAGTATGCAGGATATAAAATAATATAGTCTAATTTAATAACTAAATACTTGCAAAAAATTTTAAGTTCAATGTTTATTTATTAAGTCACGGGTTCAATCCAAGAATGGTAATTCTTAGGGTGAAATTTTTTCTTCAGCTTGTGTAGAATTAGGAAAATTTCTTCGGAAGAATACTGTACATGATTATAATTTTTGCCGCTGTCATGATGTCAGAGATTATTTAATTTTTTGATTGGCTGACTAAACTAAAAAGATTGATTATTGATTTATTCTAATTGTTTCAGATTTAACTTAATTATAAATCTGATAATTTAAATACATTAAATACATGAATCTTCGTTCGCACTTTAGATTGAATTCGTCATGTAAGGTGCGTAATGTGAATTATTGATAATCTGAGGTGCCTCAATTTCGATCTGAGGCAAAAAAATAAAATTTTAATAATTCCAGTTTTACGTTTTGTGGTAAGCTTCGAAGATTTTTTTTTACTTTTTTATTTTTTTTTTCTTTAGAAATGGTATTTAACTATACCTTTTCCTTTTCTTTTTAAATAGGAACGGGTATGTTTTTTTATGCCTTTAAGGTAAATTTTAGAATTTTTTTTCCATTTTTCTTTTAAGAACGGTATTTACCATTCCTTTTTATTTTTTTTAGATAGGGTCGGTTGGTAAACTTTTTATATACTTTCTTTAAGGTAGAGTTCAGATTTTTTCTTATTTTCTTTCTAGGAACGGTATTGACCATTCCTTTCTTTTTTTTTTAGCATTTCGTCCTGGACTCTTCCCAAGCGAACTTGTGGTGAGTAGTGGTGTTGGACTGTTGGCTCCTTTTCCTAAAATGATTACTAACCGTTTTTTTGTTTTTTAGAATTTCATTCTGGATTTTCTAAGCGGACTTGTGGTGAGTGGGTGGTGTTAAACTATTGAATTCTTTCTCACTTGAACGCTTACTAATTGTTTTCTTTCCTTTTTTTTTAGCATTTCATTCTGAACTTCTATATGGTGAGTAGGTTGGTTTTGGACTGTTAGTTCCTTTTCCTAGAACGGTTACTAACCGTTTTTTTATTTTATAGAATTTCATTCTGGATTTCCCAAGCGGACTGTGGTGAGTGGGTGTTTTTAGACTGTTGAATTCTTTCTCATTTGAACAATTACTAACCGTTTTCTTTCTTTTTTTAATAGGAACGGGTTAATACGTCGACTTAGGACTAATCTCAAGACTTTTTTAAAATTTTTCTTTGAAATAGTTAAATAAAAATTTTTATCTAATAAACATAGAAACGATATGGGAATTTTTAATTTAAGGTTAAATAATATAACACGAATTTACTTCAATATTGTCAGGTGATATGTATGATGCAAATACACATTTTTATAAAAACACGTTTATTACATTGCAGTTTACAGAAACAGATATAACTTTATTAAAAAAAAATTTGATGCTATTCATATGACTATATACATTATTTTTACTATACATAATAAAGTAATAACTAGCGGTAGGACTTCAAGGTAGTCATTTACACTGGTGATGCTAACCATAATATGCATACTTTGATTGAACCTACCAAGCGAGAGGTCCACACCTTCTATACAATCAGAAGTATGATATTCCTCCGTAGCAGGTCCTATTGACCCCTTCTCCTCGGACTGATGCTATTCACCACCTGTTAGACTTCATCGAAATATCATGTACTTCTATAATTCTGCTTCCCTAAAATGAAATGTTTGTCCCCTTCCCAATTCTCTACCATTTAACTCAAAGTAACCTAAAAGATTTGAAGTGTGAAATTTTGATAAATTGAACTTTATACGCCTATAAAATAGAAAGTAGGGATATTAATTGACTAGACTGTATGGCTGTACTATAGTTATAGAACCGATTTTGGACTTTGTCTGTTCGTTCTTTTTCGTTCTTTAAAAAAAAGAAAAAAAAATATTAATATATTCCTTCATAATAAAAAGAAAAGTAAAAAAAAATAAATGAAATGAACTAACTGTAGTTCGTTTGTTTGTTCAAAATTCCAGTCATTCTGAAAAATTAGAAAAAAAAATATTTTATAAAAAAAAAATTGAGAAATAAAAAAAATTGGGTGGTGCCGAAAATAAATTTTTTTTTCTCAACTGAATATAATAGTGGCTAGTTAACGGCAAATTGCCTAATTAAGCGACAGTTTAAGTAATACACAAGGATTTTTATGGAATATTGCAGATACTATTCTAAATTTAGTAATATTATAGGGAATATTCAGTATATTATATAACAAACATCATTACGTCATACCGAATGAATTAAAATTGTTGAGTACGGTACTATAAATTTTTGAAGTACACTAAAATATATAGCAAAATAGTACTGTACAGTACTACAAATTTGGACAGACGTCTGAAAAAATTTTTTAATTTTTCCGTACTCAAACGGACTATTAAAAATAAATTTTGATTTACCGTACTAATAATTTTGCATCGTAGCATCATGAAATAGAACTTTCGTTAATGAAAATGGTACAATTACATTTTGATTAACATAATTGATCTGATTAATTTATATATTTGTAATGTAATGATTTTAGCGTTTTATTTATTATATATTTGTCATAAACAATCTTTACTACTTTGAAGAAGAAAAATAATTGTAAATATGAATATTGATAATATATCCGACTTTATAATTGAATTGGTAAATCCTGAATTTGAACAGGTTTATATAATTATTATGACTTTATGAGTCAATTTATTATTATAGAACTGAATATTGTTAAAAAAAATGGAAATTTATGAGTATTATTGATATATTTATATTTTTTAACATAGTATTTTATTAAAAAACAAATCATGTATGAAAATTCAAAATTGTACGAAAATTCAAAGTCGTACGAAAATTTTTTAAAGCATTCGTACGTACTAAATTTATCTGTTAGAAACGTACGTACGAACAAAAAGGATTGAAGTCCGTCCGAATTTGTATTACCATACAGTACTACTTAACTTAATACCTGTGTACTTTTATTATTTAATTGTACATTATATATTCACAGTTAAAATATTCTATTTTCAATTCACGTTCTTTTTAAATGTTAGATAATTCTATAATACAAATTAAAAAGCAAAAATTGTTTAAAATTCAAAAACGAATTCATAGTATATTTTATGTACAATAGGTGTTTGTTATATAATATTACATAATAGTAGGTTTACAAATCCGGTAAGACAAAAAAGGAGTGGTATCGAGTTAACCAAAAAAGTATAGTATGGCGCGAAATCAATATTTGTGTATGATTTAGATAATAAAACTATACTCAACTGTAATAGTGTATATTATCAAACGAAAAAATTATTGTATATTTGTATTTATTTATACTCAACTGTGAATTTTTTTATTAAAATCTTTAATTAATACTAATTCTTAATTAGCCAATTTCAATTGACGCGCTTCTTTTAGCGAAATATTATTCTATATACACAAAAATAATATTTCTTTTACGTGGAATAAGAAAGACTTTTTTTTGACTTTATTATCGATTATCAAATCAGTTGCAGGAGAGTTTAATAAATTATACAATAATTATTTATTATACATACGCAATTTTACAAATCATATTGTTGAGTAGATTATTTCATGTGATATACTATACTTTTTTACACCACTCCTTTTCGTATTACTCTTACAAATCACATTTTCGTAATACTTCATATGACTGTACTCCACTCATTTGGTCAACCGGACTTCATAAAAAAATCAGAAAAATAGATATTCTTTTTAAATTACTGTTAAAAAGTTTCAAAAAACTGCTATGATGAATGAGAAAAGACTCTAAAAAATAAAAAAAAATAAACAGCTTTCCATAATCTGATATAAAAAAAAGCAGTGAAATTTCAAGCAGATTAGCTTAAAACGATTAATATTTTATTATATAAATATATAAAATAAGTTATGAATTGATCGTGATTTTCTATTTTTATTACAGTACCACATGGCGCATATGATACACATGACGTCTATGACGTCTCTTGTTTATTTTAGTTATTTGATCTGAACTAAAACTTTATTTTTTTAAACACACGGTAAGTTTAGTGATAAGTTTAAAGATATGCTGTAAGTATTTTTTCTTTTCTTATTTTTTTAACCGGTCCTTTTTTCTTCAACTTTTAGTTTCCGGGTTTATAATGAATAAAGAAGATGAAATTCCTCCTCTTCCATTTATAATTATTAATAACACTGAATGTATTGTTTGTAAAAAAAGTTTCAAGTCTAGTCGTGGTCTCTTTCAACATAAAAATATAATCCGTAAATACAATGAAATACCTGCAAGACAAGAAAAAATTCCAAGTTTTTTAATTAATAAATTTAAAGAAAATATTGTTTATTTGATTCATAGACGACTTGGAAAGAAAAATACTGGATTACAAACTGTATCTATGGATTGTCCAGTGGATTTATTTAAAGAAATTTTTAAAAATTATATTCACTATTATACGAAAAGAACTGGAGCATTAAAGTGTGTTTTTCGCGGATCTACAGGTTATCAAGAATTATCCAATATTTTTGATGATTCCAATTGGGGGGTGAAATATTATCAGCAAAATCAAAAAACATTTGTTCAATTAAGCAGTCAAAACCAAGAAGAGAGCCCATTAAGTAAACTTAGATTAAAAAAGGCAATCAAGAATCCAAAATATTCTTATGGAGAACTCATAGTTGAATGGAAGCAAAAAAATGACATTGATGCTAAAAAAAATGTACATAATGGTGGATTTATGTACATACATTTTTTTGTATCAAGAGGATTGTATATTTGAAAAAAAAAAATAAAAAATAATTTAGATATAAAAATTTATATACATGTAATTAAACTTATTTTTTAAAGGTTCAACATTAAATTTATTAAATTTATATATCTTTCCCACAAAAAAAATTAACAAAAGACGCCCAGGAAAAGTTTCAATAAAAAGTGTTTTACCAGTTTTTTTAATATTAAATGAGAGACTTTTTTAATCTAAAAATAAATGCACTTCTATATCTTCTTGAGAGGCAATACCCAATAAAAATCCATGAGGAACGATTCTATTATTGGTTTAAATATAAAAAAGTATTGAATGCGTTGTCAAAAACTGAAGAGATCGGCTGTCTCTTATACACATCTAGATGTGTATAAGAGACAGGTGAAGAGATCGGCTAAGTCACATATTGATCATATAAATAAAATAATATCCAATCAGATTTTCTAATCAAGTGATTATAAAATCCGTCACACCACCACCCGCTCTAATATAAAAAAAGTAATACAACTTATGAACGAGGACTACATGGCGAATTTTATTACCCTATCTGAAGACATGGGAAAAAAGTCTACCTATAGACATATTCTCCTTCATAAGAGGGAGTATAAATACTGAAGAATAAGGAGAAAGAATTATATATTTATTTATACTGATGAAATTATGGGATTTAAGTTTATGGAAATCCTCCACATTTTTTTTTTGATAAAAAAAAAAAATCTTTTTTAAATATCTGGTTCTTTATTTCTTTATTTTTTGTTTCCAATATGGGTAAACCTTCAAAGGCGTCACGAAGAAATGGAATCACTCGCCTACGACAACGACAAAAGTTAAAGAAAACGTCTCACATAAAACAAATAAAAGCCAAAGAGGAAGAAATAGGTGACTTGCAAATTGAAGTGCAGAAACTTAAAAAATTTATTGAATAAGCTAAAGAAAAAGTAATTGATGAATATATGAAATCTGAACGTGAAAAACAAAATTTGTTGAAATGGATTGATTTCTATACTAAACAAATAAAAGATATGTAGGAAAAACAATATTTAAATAGTTTGAAAACATATATAAATACGTCACAACCATCTTCACAACAATCACAATCATCACAGTTTCCTCAACCATCATTTAAAAGTTTGGATGAGTATTTCAAGTGTGAAATGGAACAAAAGAACAAGGTAAATTTTTATTATTTATTTTTTGATAAAATTTTTTATTCATTCTATAAAATTCATATATAGGAAAGTAATACGAAATCTGATTAGACCACGTTACAAAGCAAGAGAAAGTTTGAAAAATTTTATCCTAGGTTTTGCTTTTGTTAGCTCTTTGTTGACCTCTTTTTTTTCAATTCTATTTGATTAATTTTGTTGAGATTGGATCTCCTTTTTTATAATAAATAATAAATAAATCCATTTTAATTCACTTTGTAGACTTCTGTATAGCTTAATGCAGTTATATTTTGTTAAAAGAGTAAATTCATTCATCATGCATGCAATGTTAGTGATGTTACTAAGTATACGATTATTAAAATTATTAATTATTTTCAAATAACGTCTACAAATTTCTGGGGTTTAGTTAAATAATCAAAATTCGAAGATGGAGTAAAAGATCAAAGTTAAAAAATCAAAGGCGGAATAAATTAAGCTTAAAATGCCTTCTTCTCTTTTTCTGTCATTAAAAAACTTATTTTTAAAACCCTAGATCTCCTAAATACAATAACTTTCTTCAGTTATAAAATCACTTACCAACGAAATTAAAGAAAATTTAGGTTTTTTCTAATCTTTCATTAATACTTCTCATTCGGTTATTGGTGATCTTCATGAAAATCCCATCACAGTATATCAAAATCTACTTAAAATGGCTATCTATAATATGTTAGATCTCATTCGGCAAATATGTGTGTATTTTTTTAAAAAAAAATTCTTTTTTGTTTCCTTTTACTAACACTTCATTTTTTACTTTTTTAAGCGTCTTTGAGTATAGGATTTCGGGTAAGTAGTTTTTTCTTCATTTCTTTAACAAAACATTTACTAACTCTTCAGTTTTCTCTTTTTTAGACGGTCTCTAACGGGTATAGAAGATATAACAGGACTCATACTAAGGTAGAATTAAAAAATAGGTAAGACATTTAGGATTGGAGTTTATGTTATCATTAAGTGAGTATCCCAAGTAATCATTTTAATGGACCACTAACAAAGCAGAGGCAGCAATTGATAGACTTCTCACTTACTTTATCTTTACTATTTATTTTATAGGTAAATAAAGGCCACTTTTTAGTGAAAATTTATAGAAGGACATGATATTCCAATGAAGTCTAACAGGTGGTGAATAGCACCAGTCCGAGAAGAAGGGGTCAATAGGACTTGCTACGGAGGATTATCATACTTCTGATTATATAGAAGGTGTGGACCTCTCGCTTGGTAGATTCAATCAAAGTATGCTTATTATGGTTAGCATTACCAGTGTAAAATGACTACCTCGAAGTCCTACCGCTAGTTATCATTTTTTATTTTTTATGTATAGTAAAGATAATGTATAGATGGTGAATAGCATCATATTTTTTATATTAAAATTTATGCCTTTGGACGAAAAGAAAATTTTACTTTATGTTTAGAACATATAATAAGTAATAATAAATAACAAATAATAATAAATAAATTAAATCTTAATTATAACAATCATTAGTGAATCAAAAAAATCAATTAATATATTGTTAATAGATTTTATTTCCAACGTTTAATAGTAATACGGCGAACTGTTAATTTAGATAATGAATGATCGCCACAATTAGTATCCAATCAGAATGTTGTTTATATGTTTATATTTCACAAATAATCACATGCCTGATTTTGACACTTCCGGGGATCCAATATGCTAATTGAACTTTGTGTCACGTATCAAGTAATCAACAGTTAAAACATCATCATCGATGCTTTTTTGAAAGCCTTCTCTTTTTCTTCGGGTCGACCTTCCATTTATTTCCTCTTGTTCTTCCTTCGTTTACCTTCTTCCCTCCCTAACTTTTCAGAAAATCCAGAAGTTAATAAGCAATTGAGCTGGAACATTCTTATATTGAAAAAAAAAATCTCAAATATATATACTCTTTCTCTTTCCCTTTCCCTTTCCTTCGTCTTCTCCCTCTTCAACGAGACATTAGGTTAGTGTTACTAAAGTTACGTTAGAGTCTTGTTGGGTGTGTGTAATTTCGGGTGGTTTCAGCAAATGATCCAGCTGTTAAAGCATTACAAAAGTTGCTCATTCACACAGTCAGGGAACGTGATTTTTCGGCGCAAGAAACTTGTCAACATCTTCAATTACCGCTCTATCATAGTAGCCGAAATTTTGTTAGTCTAAAACTTAACAAAGAGGCGAATCAACAGCTTCGTGATAGTAATGAAAAATGTTCCAAATAATGAGAACAATGGAATTATGTAAACGGATCCCTCACCTCTACAAAGATATTGTAATATACCTGCCGAACTTGAAGAACTTTCATTGTTCAAATTGGAGAGCAATATAAATTTAACTGGTAGAATGCTCTGGTGAAAACATTGTACGTATTTAGCCGCGTCCATCTCCCATTCGAAATGGTTCGTTATAGAGACCTTCTTAGCCTCACAGAAATCACACTTTTTCATGGATTAATTTATATAACCAATATCTTGTACAAATCAATGATGACCCTAATGATTTAATTGGACCTGCTGTGGATGATATTCAAGAAGTTGATGGTAACGATTCTGATTAAGAAGACGACGACACACCACAGGAAGCGTATGAACTTCGAACTGACTGTCTGAAATGATGCAAAATAGACAGATGCGTAGCTTAGATGACTTTAGTGCCCGTGATATTGATAGAAATCACGACTGGGTTAACGAAAGTTTGTTATGATATCCTGAAATTGAAGAAGCAGAAAGCTTCATCCAGCAGGCAATTGGTAACAACGAAGTAACTCAAGTTGGAAATAATCCAAGAACAAGCCGTCTAAAAAAAAAGAGAAAAAAAAACGAAACATTAGCTTGTAAAAGTTTCGTCAAAGAATAAAAATAAAATAACACTTTCCTACCTCGAAGAACCGGCCAATGATGAACGAATTACTTATGTTATTTTATAGAACCATCGTGTGTGTCAACCTCATTTCGTGCAAGATGAACCATGTGTTTTAGAATTCAAAGAACTAAGACACCCTTACGTTACGCCTAGGTATGTTGTTTTTAATACTCCTAATCGCCTTTTTGAACGTGGATATCGGCATGGAGAGGGAGTTTTCTTTTTGGATATTTCTTTATTGGAAACTAAAATCAAGAATGGTATCAACATGTTTTTTAAACTTGGAACTTAGTTAATGAGAATAAGCTTTTTTAACGCAAAAATCTTAGTTTAAAGACAAATTATTTTCGAGTCTTTAAACATCGGTGGGTGGTTTTTATTCTTGAAATTATTTCTTTAAATGAAATGGTTGATTTTTCCTATTTAGAGTGGATTTGTTGGAAACTCGTGGGTTCTTTTTTACTTTAATATCTTAACCTTTAATATTTTAACAACCTGTTACTTACAGTTCATTTTTTTTTCATTTTTTTTTTTAGACGGCCAGTTCTGACTTTTGAAGAACAGAATCATAGTAAGTTTTCGTAATCTTTCGAAAACTTCTTTAGAAACTTACATCAACGCTTTTTTATTTCTATCTTGTAGGAACCCAGTCAAATTCCGATTTCGGACTCCTGAAGCGGAAAAGAAAGCAAAAGAGGAAGCTGATGGAAAGAAAGCTGAAGCAGTCCTTTGGCTTTGGAACTTTGGATTTGGTAAGTTTCGTTCGAGACGAAATTTATTTTAAAAAAATTTTTTTAAAAAAATTTCTCTTTTTTGTAGGTATCGGACGTTTGTTTCTTGTTGGATTTCATGCCTTGCTGTAGATCGGATGGTAAGTTTCAAAGCATCTCGCTCTGTTCGAAACTTTTTTTCTTTTTTTAATTTTTTATTATTTTTTTTGCTAGTATCGCTTCCTGGATCCTGGGATGATAAGATCGTAAGTTTTGTAATGG